GAATGGACACGGGAAATCCCAGGTGGAAAGCAGGAGTGTGCTGTCACAGTATAGGGAGAGCAACTAAGGTCACATTACAATGTGTGTATAAATTTTTGTATGAGAGACTAACTTGAAATGTAAACTTTCACTTAAAGTACAATCAAAAAAAAAGAAAATATGAAGAAGGAAGGGCAATGAAAAGACATGGACACACAAGGGGTGAGGGAGACCATTGGTTTGCTTGAGGTTTATAAATTTTTAAAATTGACTACACACTGAATACACTGCAGAATGCCAAGTCACGTTTTAGAAAGACTAAAAATATTCCAAAACAATGAAAGGTTCTCGTGGAACTTTAAGAAGGGACTGCCTACACCCCTTTGCGTTTCCTGTAGCACCCTGCACATTATCTGTGGAAACGGTTTGCTGAAATGAACTCAGACTGGTCGTATGTTAACCAGAGAGGGGAGTTTTCCATGACACTTTTCACTGAGATTTAACACTACTGTGATTAAATCCTGAGAAAACTTGGGGTTTCTTAGAAACAGAACTTTAGAACTGAAAACTCTTCAACAGAAGGTGGAGATGTCTGCAGAAAACCTGACTGGTGGCACTAACTTTGCCACTAATTAGCTTAGTTCTGTGACTATGGCAAGTCATTTGGACATGTCACCTTAAAAAAAGAAAATTAAGTATACAAACCAAAAAGCAGTACTAAAATAACAATATCTGAAAGACTTTGAGGAAATTCAGTACCATCTTGGCTGCGCCATCCAATCTCCTTTGCACTTGAACAATCTGACCATCATCAATTTGCAGATCTATGTGACAGCCCAGTCTTCATTATAGGTTTTCTATCAATTTTAATACCAGAGGGGCCCTAAGCTAGGTTTTATTTTCCCTCTCAGAAAATATTTCATTCTGACACTGAAGTAACTACCAGAGAGGTTACTTGATCCTCCAGAGTGGAAGGTGAAGTTTTGTAAGTCCCTTCAAGGGCTTTCATACGTCATTGTTTTCTCCTCCCAAGAGAGATTCAGGATAATGGTAATGTCTTGTCATGGCATCACCTGGATTAAATCTCTGTTGGTCAGGAAATGCATAAATCCTTACATCATTTTCAAGGGAGTGCACTAAGAAACCAATACAGGATTAAAAAATTACATGGTAAGGAATTCCTAAGGTACTATCTGCTTGCTTTGTGGCCTTGAACTTCCTTAGGACCCTACCAGAAAAAAAGTCTAGCAGAACCCTTAAGATGTAGAAATCAGGGTAAAGATGAAGTTCTCACAGAAAGTTCACTTAGCAAGTCTGAGAACACAGCACTAGGTTGGTTATGTAAAAAAAAAAAAATGTAAAAAGTGTTCTAAATATTCACATATGTGCATGCACACATGTATACATACACATGCACACCAAAAATACGAAACATTCAGGAAAGATTAGAAACCGAAAAACATATAAAGCAATTTATAGAAAATAAATTTAGGCTCAAAAACTGAGATGAGCAAAGTCTCTGAAACAGAAAATAAAAATACAAAAAGGATATCTGAAATCACCAAATGCAACCTCCATTTAATGAAAGAGGAAACTAATAAGTCCCTGAATGGCAAATAATGGTAAATGGTCCCACAGGTAATCTCTAGCCAGATGAGGTTTGGCACAACCAATAGCCATTATAGTTACACATCTGAGCCAGCATCCTCATCTCTTTCCTCTCTTGATGATCTAGTCAAACTATGCATGCAATGTAAGTCTCAATTACCACTTAAACTATTCCACTTTCTAAAACCAAGGGATGCATAATATTTGAAAGGTCACTCAGTTCAATTCATTCCCCTTACATTAAGCAGAAGTAAGTTTCAGAAAATATAATAGATACTCACTTTCTTTGTTTGTTTTAAGATCTATATAAAGAAAATTAGTTCTTAATTACATTGGTATTACCTACATTTATTGATTCAAAACAATGTTGAAAAACCAATGATGAAATGGGTAACTCACTATGTTACATCAAATGGGAAATACATTACTTAATTTGGCATGGATCCTGCTCTTAAGATGCATAATGTCTAGTCCAAAAGATGAGGCATATACCAAAATAATTATAATACAAGGTAGTCAAGGGCCAGGAAATTACTAGAGGAGTACAGAAGATGGTATCATTATTCCTAGCTGGGGGATGAGCAATGTCACTTAGCAGCAACTCCAAGACTGGACTGAGGTACATGGAGAAGCAAAAGCACTGCAAGCTATAGACTGTAATCAAGAGCAAAGCAGTAGCAAGCGTAAGGTATGTATGGAAATAACGCAAGTAGTTCAGTCTTGCAAAAAACAAAAAAAGCATACAAGTAGGAGAGTTCGTGGGATATAAAACTGGAAAGGTGAATTTAATCCAGAGTGTGTAGGATCTCTGAGGCTACGAATAGGTACTTTTTTCTTCATCCTGTAGTGAATACCGAATCACTCATTCATCCCATACACAACATTTTAAAGCAACATTTAAGGAATGGGTACCAAAGAAAGGCACTAGGGATGCCAAACGGAAAAATACACAGCATCTGCCTTCAAGGAGCTCACTGTCCACTAAGAGTGACAGATAAGTAAACCAGTAATGACTGTACACTGTACAACAGCGTGAGGAGTGTCATGACAGCGGTATGCACAAGGTCACATGGGAGGATAGAAGAAGACGACCTGAAAATCAGACTTGTAAGAGAATAACAATGGAAGGTGTCCCAAAAGAGAAACAGCAAAGATCAGTAGTAGTTATTTAGATAGAGAAGGGGATGTGAGGGGCGATTCAGGTAAAGGTAAAAGCAGGTTAAAACACCTGGAGGTGCGAAGAAGTATGAAGTGTTCGGAATATGACTAGCAAACAACAGGTTTAGGTATGTGGTGAGAATGGGGCTAGAGAACAGCCTGGGGCCGAAAAAGAAAGGCCCCATGACTCTAAGGAAATCTAACTATATTTTAACCCAAAGCTATAGGAAGTTATGAAATTATGATGATGTCTAAAATTATGCTTCGAGAAAATCCGTACATTCTACAGTCTACTGCAGCATGTAGAAAAGACTGGAGAGGAAAGAAGATGAGGAAGTAACTGCAACATGCTATGCCCCAGAATCTAGAAAAATGCCATAGGGGACCCAAACTGACATGGTACAAGTGGGAATATCATGGAGACAGAATTCACCCAATTAAGCAAACCAAAAAATTAAGGAGCAAAGTGAGGAGATGCCAGGCAGCTCAAGTTTTAGAACAGATCAACTGACAGTCAAGGAGTCCTGTCTCCCCAACTGGGGAACTAGGAGAACTGCAGATCCAGCAGGAAATCTAGCAGTGGGAAAGTATTTAGGAGATAAAAGGAGAGGAGAGAACCAGAGAGAGAACAGTCAACCTGGAGAACATTTAAGAAAAAAAAATCCAGAAGGAAGAAAGAGTTAGGTACTATGGATTGTTGTTAGGTGCTGTTGAGTTGGTTTCAACACACAGCAACCCTATGTACAACAGAACAAAACACTGCCCGGTCCTATGCCACCCTAACAACCGTTGCTGTGTTTGAGCCCGCCATCATAACCACTGTGTCAATCCATCTCATTGAGGGTCTTCTTCTTTTTCACTGACCCTCTATAGGCACTATGGATAGTGACTTGAAAACTAAGAAAAGGCCCCTGTTGACAAAGATCAATGGTGTTAACTCAAAAAAACAGCTTCTAGAGAGGACAAAGCAGAAGCCACATTACAAGACTTTAAGAATTACTAGGCTGTGAAAGTAGATTACTCTTTGGAGAAATTTAATAGGGACGGGAAGAACAGAGAGGCTGGTAACTTGAGAAGCATCATGGGAATTTTTTTTAGTAGAGGAGACTTGAAAAGGTTTGTAGGTCAGAGGAAAAATCCAGAAGGGAGAGAAAGATTTAACAATCTTTATTGGCAGGAGGTTCCTATCTCTAACTTAAATCTACAGCCTAAATCATATCCTCTTCCTTTGCTCTTAAAGATAAAGAACGGCAATTTACCATCCTCTAAATGGTGAAAGCATTCATGTATTTGGGGCCCATTATTAAATTACACTTCAGTGTCCATGTCTGGGTTGAAAATGCCAATCATTAGCCCTTTCTCATGGTTCTATTTTTCAAACGTTTAATCATCTCCATAACTCTTCCTTCATGCCCTTCTCCACATTCTACAGATTCTTTGGAAAAACGTTCACAAGAGGGCCCCACAATTTAATAAAGGCCAAGACTACAATGAGTTCTTACAAAGGTTGTCATTTGACGATCCCTCCGTACTAGTGGCTTGTAAACTCATTTTGTTGGTTTGCTTTGTTTTTAAAGCAGAGGAACCATTTCTTCTAATGAAATCATCTGCTGAACAGAAGTGGAGCTGCTCTAATTAAAATGGAGGTAAGAGAAATAGAGCCTCAACTTCTGGGCATCCCCTTGTCTCCATTTTGCAGAAACCACTGATGTAACTCCCAGGGGTCAGAAAACCACTGTTTTATGCCATGGTCTGATTTATGTATCCAACTGTTATAGTCACTGTTTAAGGTACAGCAAAAGAGTGCTGAATACTGGTTGTGTTTTATTAGTTTCTCACATTTTTCATATAACACCTAAGCAAATTATTGCTCCTGTGTCCTATACAACCATTGCCTTTATCACTACAGAGTATGTAGCTTCCTCCTTGATACCTTTTACAATTTACAAATGCTATGCAGAATTCTGACCACATATTCCCAGGCATTAGCTATCTCTATTACCACGACAGCTGCAACCTAGTGAATACTATCTCTGAGCCAGGTTATTGACAAACATAAAATCAACAGAATTAACTTGCAAACTTTATGTTGCAACAACTAAAACATTTTTTCATTTTCATTCAAAGAAAAGTTGAAATTAATAAAATTCCTCATCTACTAAATATCCTAGAAGCAATGAACTGCAAAATGTACAATCTATAAAAAGTGATAGAAACGAAATATAAAAAGTGTACTTGATCAGCTTGGTACTAACCTAATAAATTTAACAGCCAGGCCGAGGTCAGCTATACAGCAAGTTCCATTTTTCTTCACCAGGATGTTCTTACTTTTCAGATCTCGATGGGCAATAGCTGGTTTGCCTTGAGTACTAAAGATTTCCGTATGTAAGTGACATAAGCCACTTACAGAAGAATAGGCTAATTTCAGCATTGATTTAGTATCTAGGGTGGTGGACTTCAGATAATCATAGAGAGACCCATTTTCATGATAATCTGTGATTAGGTACAGTTGCGTCCAAGACCCTGTCCCTTTGATATCTGCAGCAATGAACCCTAAAAGGAAAAAGGACAAAAAGGTTTAGAAGTGCCTTCTCAATAGTATTAAGAATAATTCATATTCTCAAACATCATTCTTTGTCATATCCGACCCTATGTGACAGAGCAGAACTGCCCCATAGGGTTTCCTAAGCTGTAATCTTTATGGGAGTAGATGGACAGGACTTTTCTCCCGTGGAGCCGCTGGTGGGTTCGAGCTGCCGCTCTTTTAGTTATCAGCAGAGTGCTTAATCACTGCACCACCAGGGCTCCTTACTTATTCTTTGTCATAAACCAATAAGAAAAAAACAAACAACCAACTAAACCCATTGCCATCGAGTAGATTCCGACTCATAGTCACCCTATAGGACAGAGTAGAACTGCCCCATACGGTTTCCAAGGAGCGGCAGATGGATTCAAATCGCCAACCTTTTCATTAGCAGCCGAGCTCTTAACCACTGTGCCACCAGGGCTATCTTTTACTTAGCATCTCGTTAAATTTTCCGATTATGCCTATGACAATCGGTATTAAATTACCAATACCAAACAAAGTCATTTAAAATTGTGGGAGTAGAGAAAAAATAAAAGAGTTTGCATCTGAAAACAAGATCGCCTTTCTAATCAGTGGTTAATATTTAAATTACTTTACTCATAAAACCCATTGCCATCTATTCAATTCCAACTCATAGTGACCCTACAGGACAGAGTAGAACTGCCTCATAGGGTTTCCAAGGAGCACCTGGTGGATTTGAACTGCCGACCTCTTGGATAGCAGCCGTAGCACTTAACCACTAAGCCACCAGGGTTTCCAAATTACTTTAAGGTAATAGTGAATATTTCATGGTATTATAGTTATACATAAGATACTGCTTACAAAACAGGGACTTGAAAGAGTTAAGGCATAACCCCACCACCACCACACACACTTATTAGCTTACACTCTTTCCACTTAAATGATACAGCTAGATCATTAACTTGACAAAACAAAATGTAAATTGATTCTCTATATGAACTCTTGATAAAAATAAACCCTACTCATAAAATTTCCATAACTTTTCACGACATTTAAACAAAAATCTGCTCCTTCCTAAGAAACTCTAAGAAATTATGGCATTACACTTGCACTTCCTGTCTCTGAAGAAAAAAATATTTTAGAGTATCCCATTTCCAGCCCAACACTCATTCATAGAAATGCCTTAGCCATTCCGTCTGTGAGGTCTCCCATTAGAAGCATGTGGTGTTCTTGGGCCCATGCCAAGCAGAAAATGTCTCTATATTTCGTAAGTGGTCTAGACAGATGAGTTAATATGCAGATGTTAATAGAAAAACAGGAAAGCTAGGAAACCCTGAACACTGCTATACAGATTTGTACTCACCCAAAATATTTTCATGCCTCATCAACACTGTCTGATATATTTCTGTCTCTCTGAACCAGCTGGCTTCCTCTGTGGTGAAGAACACTTTCACAGCTACCTTTTCGCCACGCCACTTCCCCATCCAAACTTCCCCATAGCGACCTTTTCCAATCTGTTTTACCATCTGAATCTGCTTAGCTATAGTCCTTTGGACCTGTTAAATCCCAAAACACACTGTTAGTGTATTCACAGCACTATAGACTTGTTTAATCTTTTTTTCTCCAGAAAAGAAACAAATACTGCATGCAAAATATATTTAGGCAGTAGCTTGTCTTTATATAGACAAGCTATTTGTATATCTCTATTAACTTATGATGCCTCCTTTTAAACATATTTGAGATTGATTCTGTCTTCTGAATATTCAAAATATTGCTTCCAAATTATTCAATAGTTTATTCTACCTATTAACACTTTCACTGGGAAAGAATCTGAATGGAATACTACTTTTCATTTCTACCACTACAGTGGGATGCTAGATACTGTGAAGAAATGTGAAGAAATTCTTGCCACCATACAACTTGATCACAAATAAAATAAAACAAAACAATAATGCATTGTTGGGCTCACAAGGAAATAAAGAAATCTTCAAGCAGGGAGGGAGAAAAGAAAGGAGGGAGGGAGGGTAGAAAGAAGGGAGAGAGAAAAAGAGGGAAGGAGGAAAGAGTTAAGACCAGAGTGGAGAATGAAGAGCATTATGCATATACATAAGCCAAGGTTGCTGTCTGGGCAAAGAGTATTACCAGCACTGGGATCCAGAGCCTAAACTCTGACCCCCTTACAGGGTCGAGAAACTGAACCTAGGGCTTCAGCATTAAGCCAGTACTAAATTTGCCCTAGGTTGGTAGCATACTATGGCTCCCAGCAAAGACAAATATAAGCTGTCTTAGGAAGAAATCATTTACAATACTTTTCACTTCTACCATTATGGTGGTATACTAGATACCCTAAACAAACTCTTGCTACCATACAATTTGATCATGGATAAAATATTACAGAACAAAAGTGTAACTCATTGTTGGCTTCATTAGGAAATTAAAAAAGGGGAGGGAGGAAGTAAGGGATGAAGAAAGGGAGGGAGCGACAGAGTGAAGAGTGAAGGGATAAAGGAAGGGGGAGGAAGAGAAGGAAGGAAGGAGAGAGAAAGAAGGAAGGCAGGAAAGACAGAAAGAAAAGAGAGAAGAAGGGAAAGAAGGAAGGAAGAGAGGGAGAGAAGATTCCATGGAAGAGAGGGAGAGAAGATTCCACGGAAGAGAGGGAGAGAAGATTCCACGGAATAAATTCCTTAAAACAAAAGGTAACAGCCACCGTGAGAGTCAGCAGAAATAACCACAGCAGATTTAACCCCATTAGATTACAGATACTGGAATTTTCAAATACAATGTCTAGTAATGCTACATAAAATGTGTAAAGAAATAGAAGATGAAATAAAAAAAAGTTCACGAGATAAATGAAAATTACATTTTTGGAAGTATAATAGCTAATTATCACAATCAAAAATGTAAAGTGGGAGGGAAAAACATAAGATTAGAGCAGGAGAGAAAGGTAATGAGCTGGAAGAGAGTTCTTAAGAAAGTGCCGTAGAGAAAGAAAGAGGACATCTGAGAGTTAAGTGACATAAAAGTTAAAATGGGACTCTCAGGCAGAAGAGGAGGAATGATATTTGAAGAGGAAATAGCTATGAATTTTCAGAACTATCAGAAACAGAAAGCACTATATAATCCAAGCAAGATTAATAAAAACTCATTAATATTTAGAGATATGCAGTGAAACTACAGAACTCAAAGTAAAAGAGGATTGAAAGTAGAGAGAAAAGACAGATTCCTAGTAAGGAACAGTTAGATCAACACCATTCTTTTCATGAACAACACACAAACCAGAAAACAAATAATATCTCCACAGTACTAAATCTAAAATAAAAGTCACCCCAGAACTATGTACATATAAACATATGTTTCAAGAATGAGAATAAATAATAAAAATGTTTTAGATAACAAAACAAAGCAAGTTTATCATCAGCTTAAAAAAACACCCGCTGCCGACTAGTCGATTCTGACTCGTAGCGAACCTATAGTATGTAGTAGAACTGCCCACAGGGTTCCCAAGCAGCGGCTTGTGGATTCAAACCACCAACTTTTGGTTAGCAGCTGAACTCTTAACCATCGCACCAAGTGTAGTATGTATTTCAATAAAGAAAATGACCCCAAAATGAAGTGAGATATAAGGCAAAGTAGCAAACTGATAAACATATAGGTAAATCTAAATAAACACTGTCTCTGTATAATAATAATATGTCTAACTTACAGAAGTTCAAAAAAAAACAGAGACCTAAAAGAATAAAAGCATAAATTTGGTAGTTGGTGATTTGAGATACGATGTTTTAAGGACCTTGTATACTTCAGGCAGGGTTTAAAATGGGTTCAGATTTAAAGATAAGAATAAGCACATTAAATTTCAAGTATAACAACTAAAAACAACCAGATCAGAAGAAAGACAAAATGGAATTAAAAAAAAAAAAAAAATTCAATCCCCCCAAAAAAGTTAAAAAAGGAGAAAAAAAAGGAGAAATGCCAGAAAAATAGAATATAGATTTAGAAACAAACCTCAATATATCAATATTCTCAAAAAATAAAATGGATGCACCTTGTCAATTAAATGACAGAGACTGTCAGATTGGATAAAAATTTAAAATTAAATCCAGTCACATACTTTTTATGACCCACGCCTAAAACATAAGAATCAGAAAGACTGAAAATAAGATGGGAGAAAATATACCAAAAACCCAAAAACCCACTGCCATCAAGTCAGTTCTGACTCATAACGACTCTAGAGGACAGAGCAGAACTGCTCCATAGGGTTTCCAAGGAGCACCTGGTGGATTCGAACTGCAGACCTTTTGGTTAGCAGTCATAGCTCTTAACCACTATGCCACCAGGGTTTCTAAAATATACCAGGGAAACAGTAATACAAGGAAAGTGTAAAAATTAATATTAATACATGAAAAAATACAATCAAGATAAAAAACACTACTTGTGATAAAGAGAAAAACTACATAACGTTCAAAAATACACTTCTTTTTGGAAGATATGTCTATTTTAAACTTACATGCACCTAATGAAATAGCTTCAAACTCACATATCAAAAAATTTAGAATTATAGTGAGAAATGATAGAAAATTTCAATTTATTTCTTTCAGCTTTTGGTTGAACAACCAGAAAAAATTAATCAATATATGAACAGTACAATTTTTAAAAAACTTGATTAAAAGGACATAAACCAATATAGGATAAACACCTTCTTAAGCAGACAAAGAAAACCCTGGTGGTACAGTGGTTAAGAGCTATGGCCGCTGACCAAAAGGTCGGCAGTTAGAATCCACCAGGCGTTCTTGACATCTCTATGTGGCAGTTCTACTCTGTCCTATAGGGTCACTATGAGTTGGAATTGTCTCGAAAGCAATGGGTTTGGTTTTTTTTTAAGCAGACAAAAATCATTTATAAAAATCTATCAAATATTGTCATAAAGAGTCTTGACCATGTCAAAGAGTAACTGTCCTACAGACCATCTTCTCTAATCACAAAACATTAAGTTAGAAACAAACAGGATAAAAACACCATACTTCTTAAAATTAAAACGACTTCTAAATTATCTTCTAGGTCAAAGAATTTTTTTTAATATTCAGTGATGGTAAGGAATATATATGTAACAAAACTTGTGGGAAGCAGAATGAGTTAGGATTTAAAAGGAAATTTATAGTCTTTAATACTTATATTTTGAGGGAAAAAAACCTGGAAATTACTGAGCTAAGCATTCAATTAAAGAATTAAGAAAAATAAAGTCAACTGAAAGCAGAAAGAATTAAGTTTAAGAGGCAAAATTAATGAACTAGATCTACAGAAGATTGATTTTTGAAAACTAATAAAATGAGAAAACTGGGAGGGATCATCAAGGGCAAAAAAAGGTGGAAATAAACAACATTGGGAATAAAACTAGGTAAGCAATGCCAGACAACTGTAACCCAAACCCACTGCTGAAGAGTCAATTCCAACTCACAGCGACCCTGTAAGACAGAGCAGAACTGCCCCATAAGGTTTCCAAGGAACGGCTGGTAGATTCAAACGGCTGACCTTTTGGTTAGCAGCCGAGCTCTTAACCACTGCACCACCAGAGCTCCAGTGCTAGACACAGCAGATATTAAAGACATCAGCAGAACGCAGAAAAGCTACTATCAGTGGAGGCTTTCAGTTCAGGGTGAGTTCTGCCTTCAAATGAGCAAGGCAAAAGTATCTGATCACAACCTGTCTTGAGGGGCAAGAATGACGCTCTCCTTGATTTCATCACTAGGTCCCCAGAAGCACACTGTCATCATCATCCCTCCTTCCTTCACCATACGTCAGCTTCTTATCAGCTTTTCCACTGTATGAAAGTTACCTCTCTTCCTTAATTAGCAATGTTACTGAAATTCCAATCTCTTCAGAAAATCTTAGTGTATTTATTAAATTAGAAATGACTACACAAGAACTACTCTCTCCTAATATACTCTATTTTAAATAAGCTTTACTCTTTTCTGTCACAGAAAATTGTTACTTTCCTAAATATACACTGAATTTTAATTTATAATCTACATCAGGGTTCAGCAAACTTTTTCTGTAAGAGACCAGAGAGTTAATATTTTAGTATCCATGGGCCATTCAGTCTCTATGGTAACTGAACTCTAGTGTGTAGCACGTAAGCACCATAGACAATCTGAAATCAAATGGGTTTGGCTGTGTTCCCGGGTAGTGCAAAAAGTTAATGCACTTGGCTGCTAACTGAAAGTCCGGAGGTTCAAGTCCACCCAGAGGCACCTTGGAAGAAAGGCCTGGCAATCTACTTCTGAAAAATTAGCCATTGAAAACCCTATGGCACACAGTTCTACTCTGGCACACTTGGGGTCACCATGAGTTGGAATTGACTTGACGGTAACTAGGTGGCTGGCTGGTTTGTGTTCCAATAAAATTTTATTTACAAATGTAGGCAGCACATTAAATTTGGCTCACGGGCTGTAGTCTGTCAGCTTCTGGTCTATGCACACGTTGGTATATGGTCTTCTTATTCTGTCTCAGAACTCCTTTCGTCATATGTACTTATGTTATCGAATTTATGTACTTTGTGGAG